TATTTCCAATAATGTGAGCAGTTATTGATTATTTTCTAGAATAAGCCTGCTAATTGTAAAGCTGTAAAGCTGAATTGTAAGCTGTATCCCGTCGCACTCCCTTACAGCTGAAATGAAGCTGAGCAAGAAACGATAGGAGAGAGTCCCCAGCAAAGTGCTGAGGTAATTTACATCCCATGAGGAGCTTCCGAATGACAGCAAACTGTGGAGCCGAAGACCCTTAGTGAAAATGTCGGCCCGTTGTTCCAGAGTCGGAATATACTTAGCCACGATGCCTTCGACTCCCGATATTGGCCTGAAGAAGTGGTACTTCAAATGCAAAATACTTGTTGCGCGCAGACATTTTGGGAACATTCACAAGAGACAGGCAACCTTGGTTTCTTCGAACACTGTAAGAGCGCACGAGGACTGTCAGTAATTACTGGCATATTCAGTTTGCTACCAATTTTTTGAGCAAAGCTCGCATAGGAAGCAGCTCCCTCATTGACATGCTGAAGGCAACATACTCAGCAGCAGTAGAGCTAAAAGTAATGTCAGTCTGTAGCTGCTGGACCAGATGATGGGGCACCCAAACAAAGTAAGGACAAACCAGTGCGAACTTGACCAAACAGGATCCTGATCATCCTCATATCCATACAATCGGGCGAAGTCAGCATCGACCAACATCAAGCCCCTGATCAAGTTTAGGGCTAAACAATGCCTTTGTCACTTGTGCCAATTAGATCCGAATGTATACGTTTATTGCTTGAGCATGGAATGCCTGGGATGGTGACTGAATCGTGCCACCTGGTGCACACTAAATGTGATGTCTGGGCGAGTGTTCGACGCAATTAAAGCAGCATCCCAACTGCAGCTGATAGCTCCACTCTTCTTCAAATGGGGCCCCCATTTTGTCAGCTCCGAGAGGATCGGTGGCGGCAGGAGAAAGCTTCTTGCTAGCGTCAGACATACCAGTATATTCGATGACTTTATGATGAGCCCCTTTTGAGTAACTCAACATTGTCTCCCTGTCTTTCAAATTAATCCGAGGAATACAAAGATGTCACCTTTTTCTTCATGGTGAGGTCATATCCAATTCTGGAGCTGCCCAACATAGGACTCAATCAGATCATTGTCTGGACTGAGCCAGATTTGGTCATCACAATAATTTAATACCATGAGTTGATGCTCTTATGAATAAACAAACATGGTTCTGCTGCCGAGGTTTCGAAACCAGTTGGATCATCCCGCGACAAAGATGCTCATAAAATAATTTAGTGTGAATCGGTCTGCCCATGCAAACTTTACATCTCTTAGATCGTTAGATTGATCAATGCACAATGGTATTGTCGCACTCACCACCACAATACCCTCAAGCTTATTCCTGGGTACAAATCTCTGGCCTCCGAGGGATCCCTGGTGGTGTCTTAAACAATAAACTTGGAATTGTGTATGAGGCCGAGCCACACAATGATGGCAGAGTTCCGGTGAAGGTTGATGGGATTGATGGTCATAAGCACATCTTTCCACAGTATCTTGTAGTTCTTCCTCTGCGCTCTTTGATCTCAACAATGGTGTTATGTCTTGATGAAGGCGTCCAATGGATGTTTATGCGGGCATATTACAAGCATTGGTTGCTCACAGGGCAGCCAGCCAGAGGTGACCGTGACAGACAACTGGCAGTGGGCATTATTGAATATAAAGAACTGGAGTAACACAAGGAGAGGAAGCAATGATCTTTGAATGGGAGGAGACGGGGGGATGTTTTTTTCTGCTCTTCCGTTCATTTAGATTGAATGGATCGAATCCGTAAGGTTTCCTCACGACTTAATGATGGGGGTTTCAAAGGGGGCTAGTTAAAACATTTTTTGGCAGGGCTCCACTATGAAAATATCAGTGGCAGGACCAATTTTTCAATCAGGTATACGGAGGCTTTTGAGCGCCTTGGCATGGGCACGTTAACTCATGCACCTATTGAAGCTGACACAGATTCGAGTAGCCATGACGTTTTGCAGAGAATCAGATGTGAAAAGGCTATGGGAAGAAAAAGAGATGGGGCGATTTTCACCTGGTAATGGAATTGGGGGATCCGATATCCGATGATTGTAGTGTAGCCGAGATAATATTATGTATCGAACCATCTTCCCTCCTCCCTCGCCCCCACAAAAACGAAGCATCAATGAAGAGACAGATGCGTTCTTTTTAAAGACTCCACAAGACAGAAAGTAGGACAACAGAGGTAGACATGATGATATGATCTACTTGCACCGCCAGTTGCGAAGACCACTCCATCACTCATCACCCCTGGTGCTTGTTCGGTTAGTTCGGTTGCCGTGGCTCGAGCCTTGAATACTCCTTTTCAATATCCCTGCATCCTCATTGTCAACGTCTTAGCTAATGAGAGGGTTTGTTGCCAGTGGCTGGATAATGCGAGTGGATAAGCTACCACACTACCCCCACTACACGAACCAAGCATTGTATCCCTCTCTAGCTAGTAGCTGGGAGAGACTGGCGGCAGTTGATCAATGGATCCTTATGGAGAACAACAGAAAGGCTTCTCTGATATCGGTACTGTCAACTACGCCTGAAACAAAAGTTTGTGTGAAGTCATTGAACCCCGATATTAGATGCTTGTTGCTGCTCGAATTGCTGCCGTGCTTTCCCTTCCCAGCATCCTCATAGTCGACTATGTTGATTCTGATCAGATTGAGTATGGTTTGACGGAGCGTGGAGAGATAATGAGAGGAGAGATAATGCGAGTGAGCAAGCTACCGTACCAGAGTTACCAGCACGCTACCACCATTACAGGACTGAAGCGTTGGATCCTTTTCAGGCCAGAGTAAGCTGGACGTCTCAGGTTGCTATCTGGTACCAGTACAAGTTCCAAGCCGATCAATCGGTCGCATCTCTAGCCTGAGTTGAGTAAATCAGAGTGTCTCCGGTGCAGAAGTGAAAGCAATCCTCATTGAAATCCTCCCAGTTTGAGATGTCAGTCAGTTCTTGGCGCATGGCAGTCAAGTTGGTGAATTTTGATGAGCAAGGGTAAGCAAGCCTCCATTTTTCTGCAGTGTCAGAATAGAAGAGAATTCCATATTTATTCTTACTTTCTATTCTCTTTACTGCCAAACATATTTTGTTGCCGGTGAATTGTCATTGTCGAGTCCTTTTCAGCCAATCGACGCCATAGATACGAACAAGAGAAAGATGCTTTGATTGGACAGTGGCTGGCTGCTCCTGTTGACTTTTGCCCTCCTATCAACAGTCCAAGCAAAAGAGATACCGTCTTCAAGTCGAATTATTGAAAGGCAACAGTCAACATGAAGCTATGAGAACTCACCAAATAAAAAGTGGAAGAATCGGGTCATTGAAAGGCAACAATCAACCAGAGGAGGCTAGTACATGACAATTCACGCACGTGCAGGGAATATTTGAATACAGAAGAGAGTGGATACTCCCTCCTTTGAATTTCCTACTGGTGGGTTGGTGATTCATGTAAGAGAGGAAGAGGCTGCTTGGGTTCCTTCAGAGGCGACTGATAATTAATTTCAGCTCTATTTTCAGTGGGTACCCATTTTCCTGTGTACCAATTTAGTTGTCGACGACGTCTTGGTATAGTGGTGGATACATTTCTAATTTTATTACGTGAGCCAGGATGTGTTCCTTCTGGCATTTGGTTGTTGTCGTTGATAGTTGACCTTTTCCGCAACGGAACACTACCTCGTCATTCCTCGGTTACTCATTATGTGTGCTAGCTAGTACATCTAACCTTCTCTGATCCCTGCTATGCTTCTGAGAACACTTGCTTCCACTGTACGCCACTTTGAGCAGTAGTGATAATACCAACTCCCCTGCTCCTGCTGCTTGCCACCAGTCTTCTGCCACTGGTATGTACACCTTGTTCTAGCTGGCTACGACGTCCGAGTACTACTACTGTACTAGGCAGTAGTAGCTCTAGGTGGTACATGTAGCTGGACATAGCAGTAAAAATGTCTAATTGGCATCAAACTGGTTTCCTTTCCTACTGGTACAGCTTCTTTCCTTTTCTAACTTAGCTGGCTGAGATCTCCTTGGAGCTCACGCACTTTCCGCACCATCAGCATTATTATTAGTGTTATCGAACCATCCAGCCATTTGTCAGTCAAAGGATACAGAATCCCGAGTCACCTGATGGCACGGTGGCAGCAACCGAGCGAGAACAACAATAGGGGAAAGAGAAGCGGCTGAGGACGATGTGTTTCGAGGCTCCATTTTGAAGCATACTATTATTCTCGCATTCCAACGTATACCGGTACTCTAGCTAGTACCGGTAGGTATCTTGGTCTGATTTTTATTGTACATCTCGGGCCCAATGAAGAAGACGGATCTTTGAAAGAGATATTGCCACAAATGGAGGTTTCTTCTGAGGGATTCAGTGATAACAATGGTTCTGGAAACATCCACCATAGAAGGAGGCAAGCAGTTTCGGAAGAGCAAGATTCGCCTCGTGGGATAAAGCAGTCCACGACGACAACAAACAACAATATTGATGATGAGAACAGTCATCTTCATGGCCATGACTTTGCATTCGAGGTGCTGCCCCCCGACATATCGAACTGGGTTGCTGCTGACACTGGTTCTACTCGCCTTGTACCACTTAGGGATGAATCGACAGTTGGAGGATAAAATCTGGTCGTCTCGTCCGGAAGTGGAGGAGCGGCCGGAAGGGTGGCAGAGATCTTATCCAGAGGGCAACGGTTGGCAAGACTTTCAGCAAGACTATTATCTTCGCTACCACCGCCGTCCTCCCGATTCATTACGAATGTGGCTGCAATATGCCAAGGACAACAAGTGTAATGAGAGGGATTTCTACACTTACATCGAAGAAGATTTGAAGTCATACCGAGAACAAATCAACCGAACGGGATCTCCCTTGCGCTATCCGGATGTCATTTCTTCGGGGCAGAGGCTAACAGACAACTACATTGCCTTCACACTTGAAAACCACCAATTGAACGTGGTTGCTTCCCACAATATACATTTGAATTTTGTTCAACAAAGCATGATAGAAAGGAACATTCGAAAACTCTTGCTGCCGCTACTGGCACATCAACCTCCATTCCAATCAGTCTTGTTCTTTGATCTACACGATCATCCATCCCGTGGCACTACCAGTGATACCCTTCCTTTGTTTTCTGTTTGTAAAATGAGATACATGACCGAAGACAAGCGCCCACCATCGGATGCTCAATTGGCTACTTTCATGGATCAATCATTCACACCATCCGTGCTGGGACAACGACACCAATACACCCGTCTGCAGGCCGACGCTTCCATTTTTCATCCCGAATTCACAGATTCCTATGATTCTCGGGGCATTATGGTCCCCTACCATTTTGGGCTCAATGATGATGAGGAAGCATCACCCAATCCCTCCATGCCAGCCTTGAAGGATCGCAAGGATGCCATTGTATGGAGGGGTTCGACCACTGGCTCGGAGTGGGGCGTTTCGCCAAGATTTCATCTCGTGGAACGATTTGGAGGCAACGATGCGCATCCCATTGCACTCAGTGTCCCCGTCATTGCCGACTTTGCCTTTGTAGATATTGTTCAAAACTACACAGACAAACATACCATGTCACCGCATTGGCGAGTCTCCCGTCGCATGGAACCCGAAGAGGCGCAACTCTTCAAGTACATTATGGATGTGGATGGAAATTGTGAGTTTGAGCAGTTTCTGACAAGCAAACTGCAATGGTTCCGTGCTACTAGATGACTTGTCATCTTTTCTCATGGCTTGACTTCTTCTGTTGCCTCAGCGTTTACGGCTCGATTCCCCAGATTGCTCAGGCTTGGATCTGTCCTTTTCAATCCACACGTTATCGGGAATGGTTCTCAGAACGGCTCCGTCCTTTTGTGGACTATGTTCCAGTGAACTACAATCTTACTGATCTAGTCGACAAGGTCAAATGGGTACATGGGCACCCGGAAATGGCCGAACGAATTGCCCAACATGGAAAGGAGATGTCCACCCATCACATTCGCGATGACGACATGAGATGCTACATTTATCGCTTGATTCTGGAATATCATACTTTGTTCAGTGGTGACTGGTGAAAGGGACACAACCAGGACCAAGGAATGGAGATCATCACCAAATACAATCATCGTGACCGAGGACATGGACTTTTTATGGACAGGTAAGTCATCCAAGAAACTGACGGGGCTTCTCCAGGCCATGGTGATTCTCCAAGTGTTCCATCAGATCATCGAAACTGTCAAACTTTCTACCGCGGCTAAAGGAGCCGCAATCGTTGCAGTAAAAGTACCCGGAGCTGCTAATGCCGACATCCACATTATGGTTTCCTTTGATGTGGTAGACGATGTTTGCCGCTACCGCTCCGGTTGAAGATCCAAAACTGCATTCACCGCATTTATACAGTCCTGTGGTATAGTCCCAGCAGTCCGACTTGGAAATGCAGTCACAGCAATGCTTGTCTTCCAAATGCTCCAACAGATCCTCAAAGGAAGCAATCGCTTGCCGCTACCAGATCCTTTCGTACAGGCATTGCAGAAAAAGTTGCCTGATGAAGCTGCGTTCACCTCGTAGCTGTGCTTTCCTTTGAGGTGATGTGTGATTGACGTTCCGGTGGCTCCGCTTGTCCTGCCGAATCCACAGTCGCATTGATACAAAGTCATCTTGTGCAGCAAATGGAACAATGAATATCCATAATGTATACAAAGTTGATTTGCTTGTCTGCTATGGCGAAGAACTCTTCTTCAACGAAAATTTCAAGTCTCCACGATGCGTACCGGCATACGGCATAGATCTGAGGGTGTTTCCGCTGTCGATGAACTGTCACATTGACGCGACTCGACTCCCGCGCCTATGCATAGTTTTAACCCTACTAGAAGTCGCCTCGACTCCCACTCAAAATTTCCATCCTCGTTTTTGGTGAAGGCCTTGGCTTGGTTCCGCAGCTGTGTTTGTTCCCACTTGCACGGAATGGGCAACAAAAGCTCGACAACTTTTCGATCGACTGGGAACTCACAAGTGTTGGCATCGTAGCAACCTGTGGCAAAATAGGTGACGAACCGAACACGAGTAAAATAATTGCAAACAGTATGCGAAGGATGGGTTCTTGACTTCGCAACTTGCTCATCACGAGGCGTTCCGCACCTGAAGGAAAACGAAGAAACATGCAGCATCTCGTCATAAAAAACAATAAGAGAAAACAAATAATCAAGCGAAACAAGAAACGCTAGATCCAACGACCCAATCGAGCAACCAAACTGACATCAGAGACGCACCATGAAGATCGCGACTTTTACTCTTTCAAGCCTTTGCATTGCCATTCTTGCCTCGGCGACGCCAGCTCTGGCAAGGCTTTCGGATGGCAGTGCGGTGCAACCCCCATTTCCAGACAATCGAGGTTCCATCATGATGAAGGACTGCCCAGGACTCCCCCACGGAGATGATGTGAACTACATTTTGCCTCCAGAACACCAATGCCTCACCACGGAAGGAACGGCGGGAGTGTGGGGGTGTCGACCCGAGCCTATGATGCACAGTACCTGCTTAATTTCATATCAGGGCACCGTCGTTGGTAAACAGGGAGATACTTGTGGATGCTGTGGTGGGGTTTGCCCATCATTGTGCCTTTGCCCGTGTGAAGGTGGAGGTGTCCTGGTCCACGAAACAATATTTTGGGGATTGAAGCGAAAGAAGTGCCTACAGCCAGGTTTGGCAGAGGCCATGGTCTTGCAGGATGATTCCATGACGTGCTTTACAGGTTGTCAACGGGCAAGTGGTCTAGACAACCTGGTCTAGACGTCAATCCGACGAAGAATTCAATCCCCAACGTTTCACAGCCCACCTCAGCCCAACCAACCCTACAATAGATATTTATAGGAACCACACCGTGGAATCGAGTGCATAACTGATCAATTAGAAAATGTGTTACCAATGAAACCAATGATTACCGTACCGGACGGTCTATGCTCGCTCGTCTTTCGGTCCCTTCTTGGGCCCCCGGACGCTAAGCAGACAGCTGCCACATAAACCATGGAAATGGGTTCCGATGGCGTTTTAGTTCATGGTGACATCGTCCGTTACTTTCTCACAGAGATGGAAGGTCTTCTGGAGCGGGTTGTAAACCCCATCGTCGTAGTGGGGGGTCCAGTGCCGTTCATTGCAAAGCACCGAGGTTATGGCGAGGCATGACAACTTCTCCAATCAACCCTCCAGAACTGCAACTACACCCAATCTAACCTTGGGGGGCACATTTACTTTATCCAAGTTCAATCAACACTCAGACTCTCACCTGCACCTCAACCTGCCGCAGTGGCAGGTTAGGTGTAGGTAATGCAACCTTCATCAACATCCCTGGCACCAACACATCAACATCCCTGGCACCAACAAATACTCTGGATCCAACACCGGTAACTCCAGGAGGCATTGGTGGAACTCTCATTTCATTGCAATACCGAAGAGAAACAAGGAATCTGCCTTTTTCCCCACTACTATTATAGCATTACACAAATTAGCCAACAGTTATCTGATGATGTCACACCATCAAAAATGTACAACCGGCCAGCTTCAATCACCGGAAGCAAGAAACAATGGAACAGCTGCTAGCTAGCAGAGCAATCCAGCTTCCTTCCAATCCAGCGCGCCTCGGGTGTGCAACCAACTCACTACCTGTCGTCAAACCATTTCCAGTCTTCATCACAGGGACTCTTGTCGGTCTTGACATTGTACCCCAAAGATTCGAGCACATAGTTGGCATCCCTTTCTCCGGCCCAATACGCACCGTGCACAAACTCGGCATAGACATAACATGTTGCCGCCCCTGAAAAGTGCAGCACCCAATCACCAGAATCAGAACAGCCATTGTGATCGCAATGGTTGACCACATTGGGAATTCCGCCGAAAAAGTGCGCATAGTCGGTGAAAGTCTTGCCAATTTTCCAATTGGCGTACGATCCGTAACCAAAGTCAACATTATTGTTGTTTTGTGTGTAGTACATGGCCAGGGGTGTTCCCACAGTGGCTGCTCCGTATGTGATTCGAAGGGGCTCTAGCAAAGCCAATAATGTTTCGTCTGTCAATTGATTTGTTTCCGAGTGTTTCAGCTCGTTGAAGGCTTCCGTCATCATTTCGCATCGAATAATCCCGCTGCCTGGCATGAATTGTGGCAAGTCCATATTTTGCCAATGGTGGCAATGACCTCGTTGACCCACAGGTCGAGCAGTCAAAATGAATTCAGTCGTATCCCAAAATTTGACTGGGAATTGATAGAAAACCTTGACATACAGGGCCATGGAGTAGGGAGAGTACTTCTCATGTGGGTATCGGAGGGGTGGGTCAAAGGCGATCAAGTCATGGTTGAGGACTCCAATGGAGACGGTTGAGATGACTCTCTGAGCCACATAATTGGTGCAAGTTGTCGAACCATCCATCGCCGTGACAACGGCTTGATAGTTTTTGCCATTGTTTTGAATGGCTTCATTGTAGGCAATCTTGACGACGCGAGAATTTGTCTTGAGACTGTTTCGATTGGCGTTGTTGAGGAAGTATTGCTGTGGCACGATTTCGTACCCGCGCGGGTCTGTGATATGATAGTAATCGTCTTCATCGAAATACGGAAAGTATCGAACGGAAGTGTCTAAGAGGAGGCGAGTTGAGCAGAGGTGAGAAACGCAGCTTTGAGTCCTCCTGAGACCTCTTTCCGTTCCTTACCTCTCGCTGCATACTCCCAGTCCAACATATAGAACTCCGCCATAAAGTCCAAGTTCCCGGATGCATCGTCTGGAACCCTCCAGCCGTACTTTTGCAAGAGGTACCGCACGCCCAAATCAGCATACCCCTCGTGGTTAGAAGTCCATTGTTCATCGGCATCATCGACGGCTTTTCCCCAGGCATCCATGAGCTTGTCCATCTTGTCTTGGTAGATGTCAGGGTCCACAAGTTGTCCCTGTCAAAAACCAAAGAAGCAAAAATGAAACAGAATACAAACGTGTCTGTCTGTCAGTAATTGTTGCTCATCCCAAACAAGCAACAGCTGTTGGCCTGGCCGAAGAACTTACAAATTCATTGTATACTGTGTAGTCTTCAACATCGTTGAACGCAGTTTGAAAATCGTACTGTTCCATCAATGCCCACATCGGGTTGTTCTTGAACTCCATAATCCAGTTCGCCCCGTCTTCAACCGTCCATTCATTCCCTTGGACTCCAAAAGTCATGCTCTTTACCCGCCCTCCCACACGATCTGTGCTTTCCAGAATCACATAGGATAGGTTGGGATCCTCATTTTGCAAGGTGACGGCCGCAGAAACCCCTGCCATGCCGGCCCCTACAATGACAACATCAGTATAGACTGTATTCAAACAAACCATATTCTCGTTCCATTTTGGCTCTTGTGATTGATCTGCAGATGGAGGGCTCGTGATTGGTGCATTTGTGACAGGGCTTTCGGTTGTAGGTGGATTGGTGACAGGAGGTTGGGTTACTGGTGGATTGGCGACAGGGGGTTGGGTCACTGGTGGATTTGTGAGAGGAGTTTGGGCTACTGGTGGATTTGTAACTGGGATTGATGTTGTTGGTGGATTTGTAACTGGGATGGGGCTTTGAGTCATTGGTGGATTTGTGACGGGGCTTGGCGTCGTTGGCGGAGTTGTCACGGGTCTTGGCGTCATTGGAGCTCCAGTTGTGGGAGGCTGTGTAGCTGGCTCGGGCGTAATTGGAGCTCCAGTTGTGGGGGGTTGTGTAGCCGGCTCGGGCGTCATTGGAGCTCCAGTTGTGGGGGGTTGTGTAGCCGGCTCGGGGTTGCCTGTATACTTGATTATCGTCAGTGGGCCAAGAGCAGCACCACCCATTCCTCCTGGAATGTCGCGTGTTGGATTGGGAGTGTTTGCAGGTGGCGGGGATGAAGGTGGCGGGGATGAAGGCGGTGGTACTGGAGGTGGCATCACTGGTTGAAGTGTAGGCGGGGGTGTCTGAACAGTGATTGGACTTGGTGTGCTTCCCAATGTTGGATTGGGTGTACCAGGAGTTGCAGGTGCTGGAGGGTTGATTGGCGAAGGAGTTATCCACTGAGATTCACCATTTCCACCAATAATCGTGATGCCTCCCAAGTCTGCTCCACCAGGAGCAATATTTGGAGTCTCTCGTCCGATATCCCCTTGGGAGGGATTCGCAATGTCTTCTCCCATGTCATTTTTGTTGTTATCCATCTTGTTATTGTTGTTGTTGTCCATGTTCCCCATCCGAACATCTTGAGTACGACGAATTGTCAACCCAGAAGGTTTTGTACCTCGAACGCCACTGTTTGTTCTTGTTGCGATTGCAGGGGATGTCCACCAGGCCAGAATTGACAGCATTGCTGTACCTCTTGATAGCAGCCTCATCCTTGACGATACGGAAAACTAACTTGGAAGGAACGAAGATTTCACTACAAAGACTTTTATCAGTTCAATAGAAATAATGAGGCCCATTGTCTCAGATTCACAAAAGGAACATTTCCAAAAGCCAGAGCTGCGCACTCCGTGTTGGTTTCTTTGTATTTAGGCTTTCAGCGGAGTGAAGATGTCCCATCAGCGGAGTGAAGTAATGCACCAATTTGACACAAAAAGTGAGAGCCACGGTCAGTTTTGGAATTTGGCGGATGGTACTTAGGGTCCAAGCAGTTCCATGACCTCAGGATGCGACATGAGAGAGCTTAATTAAGCGTATTTGACCCAGTAAGTGCCGTTGAATACTAAAAAGCAGCTACAGTAAGCTGTTAATAAACTGGGACAACACGCCTACGCACTTGGAGGCATTACCCATCAGTTGATGATGCTCTGCACCTGCATCCCATCTCAACTTATCTCAAGAAGCGGAGCAACAGGTGGGCTGACTATGTCGCCACTCACCCAATCTTTGACCTGTGTGGGCAAGTACCAGCCATGGTTGCCAGGTACTCCACACCAGCGGCGATGGCTGTGGGACTGCCTTCAGCCACAGTGCTGATTGTAGTGAGATGTAGGTAATCTTATACGTTTCATAGCATTGCCTGTGACCAGGTTCTTGCAGAGCCTCTGCCTGGATTTGGATCCCATGTTAGGCACCCTTTGCGGAACCAACATATTTTTAAAAAGAAAGATGAAATGGGAAACAGGAAATAGAGAGCTCTGTCAGCAAGACTGCCCAGGTAAACCATGGAAATAGGTTCTGGTGGCATGGCGTTAGTTGCTTAGTCCATGGTGACACTGTCCATTACTTTCTCAAAGAACCAAGGGCGGGCTTATGAAGCCCACCCGACCATTGCTACGGTATGAGTAGCGGCGAATTACACCGTCGCTACAGTGCAAGTACCATACCGTATGTACCGGTACAGTCCTGTACCTGGTACCCACAATTTGCCAGCCCTCAACCGGTTTCGCCAGCCCATGCTAGTTCCCACGCGGAGCGCCCACCAACCGAGGAAATCAAATAACAGTTAAACAAGCCACCTATGCGCGCTCAATGCCAAGTAGGGTAAAGTCTAAAGGAGATCTAAGCAGGTTAAGCTGTCAAAGACAATGTGGAGCATCACCACCATTTCGCCTCAAGTAATGGTCTGATTGCTTCAAGCCTCACAAGTTGACTTTGTCAAACTCCTTTGCCTTCTTCTTGATTGAGCCTGTGCTTTCATGAGTTGTTACCTCTGGCATTGATCTGCCTAAGAGTGCATCCATGAATACCACAGGATGTTTCATCCGCTCGATGCATCCTCGCCCATCCTCTTCCAATCGTCTTCCGCTCGCACTTCCCGCTCTTTCATCTCTCTTTCTCGCCGGTTTTCCTTCCGACCGTTGAGCTTTTGGCTACGTTTCCTCGCTGCTATCTCCTCTCTCTTTCTCACTTTTCTATTACGGGGGGGGGTTGTTGTTCTACTTCAATCTGTTCTTGTGATCGATAAAACGTGGGATTTGTGCCCCATACTGCTTCTAGTTTGTGTCTAAGACCAAACTTGCTTTACCAAGCGGCAAAGCGTGAGAGTTGAGTAGACTGAAGGAAACGAGTAGTATCTAACAATGGCAAAATCGGAAAAATCTTTTGAATCGGCTGAAGCGGCTAGCAAGCCCTCTGTCGAGACTGTGGAGGATGATGCTTTCGACTTGGGTGGAATTGAGATGAATCCAGCGAAGCGAGTGGCGAAGAGAGAGTCGCCTAGTAGCGAACCTGGACGTTTCCAGCGAGCAGAGGGAGGGCGAGTAAGTTCTAATGATGATGCGTCGACGCGCTCCGCGCCGGTTGGCATTACTGGTGTTGGAGAAGAAGGAGGTAAGCCTAGCAACTTGGCGACTGTGTTTGTGCCCGAAAAAGGATTCTACGACCACCACTGCTGCGGTATCATTGGTAGTTCCAAGAGGGACAGGTTTTGTTTGATAGACCCCAGGAAATGTTCCATCAAGTCTCACGACACCAAGTTTGAGGTGGAAATGGGACACGCATATGTTGGTATTCGTGACCACCCCACCAAGCCGGTTGGATTCATGACTCCATGTGTAGACTTGGCCCAGGTCGACCCCGGCATCAAAGCTGAGGTCGAATCATGGGTTGACAAGTTCCTTCATGTGGACGCTCTTATCTTGGCGATGGAAGAGCGCAAATCGACCGTCTACAAGTCGGTAGCAGACGAAGCCGCAGCCGTCAAATGGTCGTCAGAAGTGTCCCCTCCCAAGTTGAAGACAGTTGATGAAATAATCAAGTCAGCCACTGATGTCTCCACTCCGTTGAAGATGGACTTCAAGCTTCGCAAGGAGGAAAACAAAGTCAAAACGGCGAGTGTCAAACTCGACGCTTTGTTTGAGCAAGAAACCAAAAACGAGCTACCATCGCCGGACGACATCCAGAACATGGTCGCGGTTGGAGACTTTGCCCAGCTCGCTCACAACCTGGTCAAGGCTATTGGAAGTCAGCAGAAACAGATCACCAGCCTAGGCGCCGCTCTAGAGGAATCCCACGCTCGAGATTTAGACCACATCAACATCCTCGAGTCTCTTGGATCGAGCATTCGACTTTTGAGCTCGAAGGTGGGAGACCGTCCTTTAGACGAAAAGAGGAGGAAGATTTAAACCAGTTCGCCTCTCCATTCAGTGACAAATTCACCATCGTGAAGCTGATTGATAGATTCCGACATGAGCTGTCTGCTCAGCTCAACACCTGGGCCCGAACCAAAGATAGAACCACGTATAGTTGAAATGGTGATACGCGCCTCTTCAAAATGTCATCCTTAGCGGAGCTGGATGTGCTTCCACTGAAGGCGTCAAAAGTCTTGAGATTGCGGCCGAAGCCATGCTCGGGGTTTACAATAGTCTTGCAAGTGGCGGTCTTTCCGAAGAGCATCGGGGGAACAACGTGACTCATGGTGGCCATGAGATCGACCTCAAGGCGAGTTGCTTTGATGTTCTGGGAAGATCTGGACTTGTCGGCATACTGTTTTCCGTCGTAGAACTGATCCGTTGACATGCACAGTAGCGAGAAGAAGTCTGGGAACCAGCCAACCGAGTGCACTACGCTAAAAGCTAGTGTAAAGATCTTTCGAGTGTTTTGAGTTTGAGAGAATGAAAGTTATGAGAGAGATTAGAAAGCTATGAAAACTAATCAACGAGAGAGATCATCATCCAGGGATCGTAGATCTGGCTTCCGCGGGAGACTGTAAAGTGTGATAGAGTAGGTTGTGGTAGTAATCCTACGTCTTTCCACGATCCTAAAACGGAACGCGTGGAAGGTTTGTCTAGCCTGGATCTAGTAGCGTGGAAGTACTCCACGCTAGCTAAATACTAGAGCGATGTTTTCATCATCAACTAGTATGACTAGGCGGTCATTGAAACCCTGTCTCAAATGACTATTCACGAGGGACTAGTCATGAGTCGAACTCAAACCCTATCTAGGATCGAGTCGCGAATAAGGCTAAGAGCCGTGTATTGCATTCGCCCCCTGACAAGGGTCACAGAAGCGCGACAGCAGTGGGACAAGAGAACATATGATTTAAAGTGCGGGGCACTCTCATGAGATTTGGATGTAGACATGTGCGTCGCACGATGGCAATCCTACAAGGGGATCAGGCCTTGTATGGGTGTATATACCTTATGTTCCAAGTCTGGTAGACTTGTGCCGCCGTTGGCGTAGCTGTTGGAGCCGTACAGTGCCATTGTCAGACCGGTCTATAGGTGTAAGGACCTTTGTACTTGGGCTGACCGTACTTGCGGTGTGATACTGTTGAATCATCACAGTATCGTTGACATTGTATTGAATGAGGGACACGCGTTGCGTTTTCCCTATCGTTTTTTGTTGGATTAGTCGTTGGCGACGTTCCTTAATGTACTTCCAGTTGGCTTGAACGGACGTTGTAATCGCGTCACGATTGAACACGAGCTGTGGCGGGCGTTGCACGCAAGGTGGTATGAATCGTGGCATTCATTGCAAAGCGAACCGCGTGAGGATCCATCCCAGGATCCATTCGAGGTCGTCTTGGCACTTGATGTTTTGAACAGCGATCAAGTTACGTATGGTTTGATGAGCACGCTCGACCATAGAGTTGGCTTGAGGGTTACGCGTGGTGATGAACTTGCGACGAAGTCCATATCATCCCGGAGTGTCCTTTCGACCTCTGCGCGGAACTCCGTCCTCTATCCATGATACCTCAGCAGGCCATGGATACCGAGTAAGCCACGTTTGTTCTAGGACGATGGCTACTTCGTCTGCTGCTTGGAGCAGATCTCTGCAATCTCGAACCATCCGGTTCGGGATCAATCATTGTCAAGCAATGAAGTGTGCAGGAATTCTTTTTCTTGGATCCCCGACGTTGTAAGGGCCTATCAGGTCATACATAGTCTTTCCCAAGGGATCTCCTCGCAAGTCTTTGGAGGCATCAATCCCAGCTTACGCGTCTTGGTTTGTTCATCTGGCAGCTTTGGCAACGCTGCATACGGCCTGCACAGTCCTGCGCAGACCCTTCCAGGTGTAGTGTTGGCTGATGGTTAGTTCCGTGCGAGTCTCGCCAGGTTGCATCAGCACACCATGGTACCATTCAACTAGCTTTTTCTGCATAGTTTTAGGTACGACGATTTTCTGTCCTTAACTACTAAGTCGTAAGACTTATCCCCTCTGGGGAAAGATTGCTTCTGTAGTCGTTTGGCTTGTTCCCTGAGGAGCTTCTTGATATCGTTGTCGTCTTTCTGACGATGTTCGATCTCGGGGAACGAGAGAGGAACTCCTAGGAGAAGTCCTCTTCGTCTGCAGCCATGAGTTCAGCGATCTCGCTGGCGTCCATCTGTTCTGAAGAACGTCGTTGTTGGAGATGTTAAGTCTGGACAACGCATCAGCGCGAGATGTTCTGTTCGCCCTTGTGTACCGTAGTTCAGGGCCGTATTCTTCCAGAATAAGGGCGCATCGCATTACGCGATCGGTATTGAAGTTCTTACAGTAAGATTCTTGTGGTCCGTATGTACAACGATCTTCTGTCCTAGAAGAATGTTACGGAACTCTTTAGTTTCTACGATACTGAGAAGTTCCTTCTCGGTAACTGTGTAACGTGTCTGAGCAGGGTTGAGCTTTCTGCTGTAGAACGCATAGGTTTTCCCTTCTGGAAAATTACTGCACCTAGTTGAGTATCACTCGCATCCGTGTGGATAACGAATGTTCGTTGAAGTCAGGGTAAGCGAGCAAGTTTCTTTGCTGATGATCTTTTTCATCTGGCTAAAGGCCTTGTCGTGTTCGGCTTCCCATTTCCACTTCGTTGTTTTGGAAGTCAACGAAGCGAGTGGGGCCAGTACATGTGGATCGTCTAATCCACATGTCTCGATAGTAGTTCACTAGTCCAATGAATCTACGGAGTTCCTTTCTGTTGGTAGGAGGAGCGATATTCTGGATCGCGTCTATTTTCTTGTTATAGGTTGGATCCTTCTCGAGTAATTCAGTAACCTAGGTATTCAAGTTCTCCTCTTGCGAAGAAGGACTTGGAAGCATTGATCTTAAGTCCGCTTCTCGAAAGCCTTCGGAGAACTTCATCCAACTTCTCAACGTGATCTGCTAGATCGCCGTTAGTTAGGATGAGTAGATTCAATGTATGCACGACGTATTCTAGGTCGTGCATTAGTGTTCCCATTTTCTCTTGGAAGATGTCGGACTATTACATAGGCCCATTGGCAACCTCTGGTACTCGTACTTTCCCCACGGAGTACGATGGTACAGAGTTGCTTCGAGTGAGGTGACAGCTCGATGTGATAGTATCCCATGTTCAGGTCTAGAACTAGTCGTACTTGAATCCATCTGATTCAAGAGCATGTCCTGTTTTTGGGATAGGATAAGGCTTGCTTATCCTTTTGTTCATTCCCGGAAATCAGAGATGAATCGTACAGATCCGTCTTTCTGGGAATGATGAAAGTTGGTGCCGCCCACTCGGAACGTTTTACTTTCTTGAGTACTCCTGCTTCGAAGAGACGTTCAACCTCCATCTTAAGAGTGTTGGTGGTGGACCCTTGGCATGATAGGGTTATCAGGGAGAAGTTCTACTTGTAGTGTCCATCTGCCACTTTCTAAGTACCATCGAATAGGTCAGAGTACTTCGTCAGTAAGGATGAAGCTGTTCTTCTCTTCCTGTTTTACTGATCTTGACTTTGGCAAACCTGCCTTAAGTAAGCTTGTTCGTACTTCGCATCAAGAATCTTCTTGAGACGATCTGCACTGTCATCAACAGCGGTAGGATCAGGAATGAAGAAGTTCTCTTCTCATTGGTGTCGCTATCTTTCATAGGAATAGATGCGCCGTCCCATTCCACTGACATGGTAGTGAAATCGAACTTGAATCCTAGATCAGAGAGAATTGTCTCGACCTATGGATCATTTCATACGCCCCAAGTTCTTGGTACGTGTAAATCCCACTCGATGATTCTATCTTCGTGGAATTCAGGAATCATAAATGCACCTTTGACTTCGTGCTGGTGTTTAATTCTCCCTGCAGGGGTAGTCCAACGTTTGGACGCCCCCAAGACCTTCATGCGTAATTTTTTAGCATGAGGTTGAGCAATCAAGGTTCCGGATGCTCCTGTATCCATTAAGCAACGGAGTGTAACACGGGTTTTGGTTTCCCTTTTTCTCGCTTGTTAAATCTAACATAGACGATGGGTTTGAGGTCTCTTGTCTTGCGACGTTTACGAGGGGTTGGCCACGGACGAGGTAACGATGCTAAATAGATCATCAGAGTCTAGTTGAGCAGCTTCTAGGCAATCATCTAATTTGCCGTAGGTTCATCATTGCAAACAATTCTTGTTTACTAGTTAGTGAGAATATCTTCATCACTTTGGTATGAGAAATCGGAACATGGTTCCGTTGAGTCATCATCCTGGCCTAATCCTCAGATAGAGATTTCTCCATCCAAGTGATTGAAATTGATAGAGAGAGTTGTCCTCATTGTCAGAGATCTTCTGATTTGCGCTTGGCAACATGGTTGCGAAGTTTGCAAATGGTTGTACGAGTATCGTCGATCTCGTTTTCTCCGTCATTGTCGACGAGAGGAAGAATGGTTTGTCACGCAACTGTTTTTGAAGTTGCGGAACGCATGCTTTCCTTGAGCCATCTTATGGTGAAGGAATAGGTTGAGGGTAGCTGAAGCTATTGTGTTTGTTAACAAAATGAACTACGCTAAAAGTAGTGTAAAAGATCTTTCGAGTGTTTTGAGTTTGAGAGAATGAAAGTTATGAGAGAGATTAGAAAGCTATGAAAACTAATCAACGAGGAGAATCATCATCAAGGGATCGTAGATCTGGCTTCCCGGGGGAGACTGTAAAGTGTGATAGAGTAGGTTGTGGTAGTAATCCTACGTCTTTCCACGATCCTAAAACGGAACGCGTGGAAGGTTTGTCTAGCTTGGATCTAGTAGCGTGGAAGTACTCCACGCTAGCTAAATATCTAGAGCGATGTTTCATCATCAACCTAGTATGACTAGCGCGGTCATTGAGAACCTGTCTCAAATGACTATTCACGAGAGACTCAGTCATGAGTCGAACTCAAACTATCTAGGATCGAGTCGCGAATAAGGCTAAGAGCCGTGTATTGCACCGAGATATCGTCAA